ACAAAATGAAAACAAAAATCAAAGCTGCCAACAGCTATTCCACTTGAAAGTCTGCCCTTGGGTTAATCAGTCTTACATCTTGCCCCTATAGCCACACAGCACTCGCAGGCTGAATTCCCTGCCTGGAGCTTGGGGTGCTCAGCTGGATCACACTCTTCCCTCAACAGTGCATCACTCTTTGCAAAGCAAGGCCCTAGAAGCACCCCAAAGGTCCTACACGCAGTTCATTCTCCTGGGCTGCTTGGACCCTTGCCTGGGAGCACTTTCCCTCTGAGCCTGTTTCTTCTCTCAAAGAACCGCTTTTTTCCAGGGAGATTCCACTGGGAGTAGCTTTCTAACTCACTCCCCTGAAAAGCCAGTCTCTTCAGAAGCTACCTCTGTTTTAGGGCTTCCTGACTGAGCCCTCATATGTCTTTATTAGGCGCAGGAGCTCCTTACCTAATTGACTGCTGACTAACTACTTAGGCAATTAACTATGCATAGGTGGTTCTGGGTTGGCTCATTCTCCTTAGTGGAGCCTATCACAGGTAGCCTGAGTGCCTGACTCCCTCAGGGTCCAGCTATCCTGTGACACAAGGAATTCCTGCCTCTCCTGTCCATTTCTTCATTATTACTTGGGTTCCCTCATGTACAATGAGAGGAGCTCTGACGTGCGGCTCCTGGGCAGCTGACAGGGGATTGCACTCAGTATTACTGATATATAAGGTGGGATGCGTGACCCCATCTATGATAAGAGAGACAATAAGGCCTTCATAACCTTAAGTTTGGGATCGTTGAACATCTTTACCATTAGCGTTTGAGGCAGGACTGTTGTGCATTCTGCACTTGCCTCTAGTTTTACAGAAAAGCTATTTTGGAGCCTTTAAAAAATGGTATTGGTGCTATGTTTTTGGTCCCTCCACCTATAACATCTGGTTGCCTTAGTTACCTCAAGTAACAACCAGCTTGTTACAGGTAGAGGGACCAAAACAGCATTAATAAATATAAAAATTAAAAGTGTTTAAAAAAAAAAGTTCTCCTGTAATATGAGTTACGATCATAGTTGGCAGGTTCCTTATCAGCTATGTAATTTACCCATCATCTCCCGTCTTCACCTCTTCCTCCACCACCAAAGTGTATGGAGCTGATCCCAGTTTCCTAACCCACCTACTCTATTCCCTGCCATTCTCTGCTCAAGCCTCTAGTTCTCCCAACTATTCGCCCTGCATTCTCAGACAGAGGCCACTAGGACATGGCCTAAGGGCCTACTTCCTGACCACCTAGAGAGGACTAAGGTGTGGCTTGAGGATCTGTGCTCCGGATAGTTAGCGAGCGCCACTCCCTCCTAATCTACAGAATGGAGGAGTGTTTTGCAGATCCTTTCACCCCTCCCACAGCTCAGGTGCAGTCAGTACTGTCTCTACCACACTGGTAGAAGAGGCAGTTGCCTAAAGCAGCAAAATACAATAGGCTACAGCAAGTTTAGTGTGCCAGCAACTGTCAGCTTGGAGCAGTGAATGTTTACAGTTGACACAGAGCCGCAAAAAATCTGGTGCTGGGAAATTCGCCTAAAGATAATAGCATATACCTAATCGCCTGCCTTAGATGGTGAAAATAAAAACATGTCTTTGAGGTAAGTTGGAGACATTCTACTTTCTATGTGGTGGTTGATGGTATATCTGGTGGTTCATAAGATCTTTACCTTTTCATTGTTTAAGGGCTAAATATGTCCTATTCAATACATTAGGCAGGTGATCTCTTCTCCCACCTGCTTCAGGAGCCTGCCAGACTTGGGAGAAAAACACAAAACATTTTTGTGCTCAATTATTTTTCTTATAAAAATGGCAACTGTTCAAGATTCCCCTGACGGTCTAAATGCTAGAGGGAGTCCTGCTGGAGATGAGTGTGTGGGCAGAATGCAAGGGAAACTATCAAAGATGCATGGAAAAATAAAATGTATCAGATGGCTACAAAAAAGAAGAGCTTGTCTATACCTGGAAATGTACTATTCTGGAACAGTTATTCAGGAGTAACTCCCTGCGTGGACGCTGTTATTCTGGAATAAGGGCATCCACATGAAGGTTCATACCTAAATAAGTATCAGTGAATAATTATTCTGGAATAGATATTTTGGTAAATTCCAGGTGCAAACAAGACCTAAAATAAATTTATTTCATAGGGGTCATACTTGGGTGTCTGTCTAACTAAACTACCTGTAAAATAGCTCTCATTGAGCTATGTCCAGTACCGGACGAGAGATGGAGAGGGACATAAGTGGTTTTATAAAACTCTTGTAACTGGCTCTGACCAGGAGCTGGGCCAGCTATTATCTTGAGTCTGGAAGATTTAATTTATGCCCAGCTGTCTATGATCCCAAGAATTTATTCCAATAGGACTGCCAGATTACAGGCGCACTGCAGCCACGCCTCCTTGCTGGGAGAGGGGTAGTACAGAACTCTATGCCATGTGGGAATTCCCATCCTGCACAGGAAGAATCAGTTCCTCCAGGTTTCTGGTTGCTTTGCAGTGTGAAATGGCTGAAGCAGCCCTGAGAATCACGCCCAACTTATAGCACATGTGTGTGCACACCTTCCACACCCAGATGAACACAGAGCCCAAATAATTTTGTTTTAAACCTTTAAAAAAATCCAAGACAGAAACAGTTCAGCCATATGAAGATGCAGATGATATAAACAGCAATAACAAAAAAGGGTGAGCTGTATGAATGGTTAAACTGACCATGTTAAGCTTTAACAAAAGCTCCTCCAGAAAGAGATTTAAAGTAATTTTTTTAAATGTCATTATTCCTAGAGAGACAAGGTGGGTGAGGTAATATCTTTTATTGGACCAACTTCTGTTGGTGAGAGAAACAAGCTTTGGAGCTACATGGAGCTCATCTTCAGGTCTGGGAAAGAGGAGCTCTGTGAAAGCTTGTCTCTCTCACCAACAGAAGATGGTCCATTAAAAGATAAGGTGGGTGAGGTAATGTCTCTAACATCATGGGATCAACATGGCTACAACTACACTGTCATTATTCCTAAGCATTTTAATGTACAGCTGTTGTCATAACACCCTTTTATGGCACTGTTCTCAGGATGGAAGGAAGTGGGTGTTTAGTGTTATATTAATTTTAAACCTATAATTAGTGTGATGTAAGTCCTGGCCAGGTTCCAGTTGAGTTCATTATATTCTCCCTACCTGAATTCCCCGACCAGCCTTCAGGCTGCTCTATCTTGTGCCTAACCCTAGGTTGATACCCACCCACCCTCAGATCAAAATCCTCTAAAATAGCTTAATGCCATCTTTGCTGTCTGCTTCTGTTGTGCCTTCCCTCCCCCCATTTACACCCTGTATACCTCAGCTAGTCCAAAGAATCTTATCCAGTATTTTTACTTTCTGTAAGAAACTGTTGTGTAGTGTTCTTGGGTGCTGTTAAACAGTTGCCTGTAGTCCACCACTGAGATGTTTTCATCCCCCTGTGAGAGTTGGGGGGATTCTGTCCATCTCAGGACATCCTCAGCACCTTGCAGGATCAATCCCAAAGTTTGTCAAGTGTTCTGACAAGAATGAAATATCTTAGTGTATATACATGTAAGAGATTATCACCACCTTCTGTTTTTACCTGTTGCATGAAAATAAAACACTAAAGGGAGCATGAAAAACAAAAAGGACAAATTGAGTCATTATCCCAAGGGGCATAATGAATAGAGTTGCTTAACCCTTGGAAACAAAATAAAAGCACCATGAAGTCAACTTATGTGTTCAGAAAGTCTAAAATGCAGTGGATATGCCTAGGGAAATATTGCCTTAATTAGTTATTCAGAACCACAGCACTTCTGAAACAACTGCTAATGAGCAACACTAACTGTCAAGGCTATTTTCCACCCTGTGTGCATGTTTATTCCATAGGAACTTGGGTGGTTATACAGCAGAGAACTGGAGAAGTTATATGGGTTAAACAGCTGAATATGGTTCTATGGATATAATACTACAACACTGTACAACGTTTGTGACTAGGGACCTCTTGACGCCAGGAGATCCCCTCAGTCAAGTAGATGCACAATAATTCACCAAAGGGTGACATATAAGGTGTCTACGGAGAACCAGTAGCCCACTGATCATCATGATCATAGAGAAATATATGTAAGGCTAATCTGTACAAAGTTATGTATCTATGCTGAAAATTATCTTCTTAAGGTAAGGAAGGTCACCAAGATGTGACATGACTTAGGTTCCACCAGGCAGGAGGTAATTAGTCGTTTCTGTCTGATCATGTGCGTTTTGTGTATTGTCCGCTTCACAATGGAGGCCTATTTGCATTACTGAGCCTGCTGCTAAACAGGAGATTGCGAATTCAACAAGAGAAGACAGTTGCAGGAAAAAACAAAAGCAGCAGGGGGTATCCTGTTTGAGTAAAGACAATGAATTTGGGGGATACAGCTGGGAGTACTGAGGTGCACTCTGGATTTTTCCACCACAGAGATAAACTGACGATGTGTTCTGTCTTATGAAGGGACGGTCACAGCCAACCTGGCTGAAAAATGCTGCAAAGACTTTGGGTGAGATAAACTTCATTAGATGTGAGATTGGTAATTAAGTCTAGGCTTTAGAATGTACGTTATAATTTTATTTTACATTTAACCATTTGTTTCCAATACTTTGACTGGCTACATCTCAAATCGCTATATGTTGTTAGTGAAAACAAGTAAAAGTTTATTTATCAACATATCTAAGTGGTGTGTGTTAAACTGACCAGTGACCCAAAGGGAAACTGGTAAGCTGGGATGTATCGTTTCTTTGGGAGCAGCAAATCTGTGAATTCTGCAAGAATTGGGCAAACCAGGGGCTGGACGCTCCAGGGGAACATTGGGAGGTCTATTGGAGCATGCCTATCGCTAACCTGCGGAAAGAGAGGGGGCATGTGTAGGGCTGGAGGGGAGTGTCAAACTGTCTAGAGTGCCTCACAACCATGAATGCCAACCTCAGAGCATACTGTCAAGAAGCAAGGCACAAACTCCAAATTGGTTATACATTCTATAATTAGATCTCATCAACTAAGTAACAAGTGTGAACTCCACAAGCACTATAACAACCTTACCAAGGAACCATAGACAGTCCCCTTGGGTAGGCCAGTCTATCTTGCCACCCAGGCAAGCCTGCCTTTGTGACAGATGGTCCCTTACACCAAAAATCACAGCAATATTCAGGTTACTACCAGTCACTTATTTCAGCTCCGTTGTACCCCAGAGCTCACACCAAAGACAATGCTTGCAGACATCCCTGTAATAAACTAACTAAAGATTTATTAACTAAGAAAAGAAATGAGTTATTTACAAGCTTAAAGCAGGTAAACACACACGTTCCAAAAGGTGTCAGTAGCTGATATATATGCAAGCTCTGCATGTCATTTAGGGCTAGCCCAAACAAAGCCGCTTGGGGATCCCTTGCTTATGCTTAGAAATATTGCTCTCTCCAAATTCCAACAGAATAATGATAAAGTTCCTTCTGGTCAGGAATTTTTATTCTCTTCCCCCAGAGTTCAAACTGATAAAATAAGGGTTGGCACCAGTCTCCTCTTCATGGGTGTAGGAAAGGGGGGAGAAGGCAATCAACAAAGTCTTTGTCCTTCGATGTTTCACAATGGCTCATTTGGTTTCTGTGCGCCTTCTTGTGTGCAGAACCAGCACTTTACGCTAATTAATGCTTCTTTCCTGTTTGTTGTGTTACACAATTACAGAGGCTTACAATACAAACATTCAATATAACTTTATAGCATGGGCTACAGATGTTATAAGTGATATCAATACATGCAGCATCCTACAAGCATTTCATCAGGTCTAAACATTAATCATATTCTTATCAACTTAATATCTATTCTAGAAATGCTAACACACAGTAAGATAGACTAGTTTCCAACCATGCATTTGTGTAGCAAGGGGGCATGGCCTCCCTCCCAAACAGACCTGGAGACTCCCAGGCCACCCCCTTCTGGGCGGTGTCAAGACATTGATACTCACCCTGCTGGAAACAGAAGGGCGTGACAGAAACCGGAAGTACAAAGTGCAGACCCTCAAGCTCAGTTGGGCCTGAGCCACCAGAGGAGGACGTCTTCCTGTCTGCTGCTGGAGTTTGAGCCTAATGGATACCACTACATCGCCAAAGTCCTGGAGGACTTGCCAAAACTGCTGGGTGCGGGGGATGCCAAAGAGCTGTCAGGGCTGCCATTAACTGTCTGCCCCGGGGAGATGGATGACAACCTCAAGACCCAAGTACCCCACAGCGGAAGCATAGGAATCAGATAGTCCGGTTGTATTGTGGCCTGAAACTAGGTTAGCATGTTTCAGACAGATCCCCACTGACCCAGTGGCAGAACACTCTGCCACTGGTAGGGCCGTAAGCTGGGACCCTGTGCAGTTGTGTGTGCCCGGGTCCCCCTAATCCCTGCCACTCCACCCCTGGGGTGGCAGCCTCCCCACCTCAGGCCAAAGAGGCCTGTGTTTGTCTGTCATTCGCTGGAGTTAGGATGTCAGACTGTTTGCTGTCTGTCCTGACTGCAGGCCAGAGCCCTCTAATGGTTTGGCACCCCACCCTACCTGAGGGCCAGGGCCCCTTGAGTCTTTTTCTGGTCTGCCCAGACAGTGGTCTAGGGGTACCTAACTGTTTGGTGCTCCATCCTGCCAGAGGGCTCGAGCTGCCCATGCTAATTTCCCCTGAACTTGACCCCTACACAGGCACTGTAGAGAGGGGGCATGGCCTCTGCAGATGGACAGGGAGGAACAATCCCGACCTCCTACAATTTATCAGTGTTCAGTGAGGCCTAGGGGCCTTGACATGAGCTGGCACCTGGTCTGCCAGCATCACAGGGAGTGCTTGTGTTGATCATTGCCAGTGGAGCTGGATAGCTGACTCCAGCAGGCACAGACAAGGTCTCCTCACGCTTAAGGGCAGGTGGTAGTGAGGTGCCTCATCACAGCCCTGGGTGTCTCTGGGAAGCATCATCACTTTACAGCCCAATCTTAAGTCCGTATGACTTTACTGTGAGTTTTGCCCAAATAAGAACTGCAAGATTTGACCCTTTTTTGTATACAAACTATTTTCCAAAACATGTTCCAGATGTGAATAGTAGCAGAGGGAGAAGGAAATAAAAGGCACAGAGGGAAAACAATATGGTATATTTTAGCTGAGATTTGAAATGAACTGAGTGCTCAGTGAGGCAGAGAGATACAGGAATACCATTGCATGTGGCAAGGGGCCCTAGAGAAGGGAGTTGTACTGGTCAAACTGAAAGGAGATGAAGATCTGTATGGGCATTGTGGAGGGAGTTCATGGAAGGCAAGTTGAATGATTTAAGGTCTGACACATAGTACCTTACATTCGTGTCTCAAACCATAACTTACTGGATATATACTGTACTGGACAGAGTATATATCAGATTTGCTCAAGCAACTACTACTGATTAGCAGTTCCCTCTACTGGCTGAGCTAATTAAACTGTTTTTTGCACTCTACAGGCAGATGTCTGATTTCACAAGTATGTGGTTAAGCTGACTCCCATGTTGTCTGTGCATGTAAATGGACACCATCACTACCATAGAAAAGTGACACAAGGGAATTGTGTGACATGATAAAAATGGATCTGTTTCTAGCGTTGTCAGACTCTTTTCTCTGATAATAAGCAACATGAGTAAGGCTTTTCATTCTAGGGACCCCTAGAAATAATTCCAACATATGAGTCACTGAGATAGCCCAAGTCTTTTCTGCTAACTTTTTGTTCTGGTTTGTTTGCCTCCGTGTCATTTGGTACATGATGTGTATTTGTGTTACACAATTTTTTGTTTGCTGAGTGTGGGGGTGAGTCTGACCCTTAGCCTGATAAATATTACATGTTTTAGAGACTGTCGTCCCTACTACTTGTCTATGCTCGGGCAAAATACTGGTGAGGTTCTCTCTATATTTTCTTTTAAGTAATAAAATAAATTATTGATTTTTCTTTTATGAAATACCCCCATCTCCTCAACAAAAGCGAGATGATGGCTTAGATCAAACAAATGGTGAGTTAGTTATTATAAAATTCAGAAGCCTCATATCATCCTTAAATAAGTAATTAAACAAAAACCAATTTTTAAAATACCAGGAAGTCTGAACATAAGCCCTGTGCCCTCCCAAAGTGAAATCTGCCCATCATGAAGAGACAGTTGTAGACCCTTTTTTTTTGGCGGGGGGGGGGGTGGGGTGGGAAGGAAAAGGAGATCACCCCACAGCTCCATCCTCCAATCATAAAGACTAAAACACCAGAAAAGATATCACTGGCAGTCACAATTCAAACAGTGAGGTTATGAAAACACGTTAGCAAACAATTACTCTTTACTAGCAATATATGGACTTGGCTCTGCTAGCTCTGAGTGTGATCCAGTGGATAGGACACTGTTCTGGGAGTCAGGAGCCTTGGGTCTTATTCACAGCTCTTCCATTGATTTGCTTTGTGACACTGGATACCTCTTTCTGCCTCCATTTCTCCATCTGTAAAATGGAAATATTAACCTACCTTTGTAAAGCACTTTGAGAGATAAAGATAAATCATATATTATAAGTAATTATTAGTACAGGGGAACTGGTAGCAGTCCCTACATTTAAGTTGCCTTATACTTTCCATTATAAAAGATTTAATTAGTGTGATATTTTTTATAAGAAGCTCTAACACCTGTTTACAGCAGACTTTTGCAATCCAGCAATTAGAAAGCCCTCAGGCTAGCAAAGTAATTTTTCCCCCCTCTGACATTCTGAGCTGTAAACTGTTAAAACTCACCATTTCCCTGCTGTGGCTTGCTTTTCTCAGGAAAATTTTGCCAGCATCTAAAATAATAAATGAATATGAACATTCTAATGTAAGTCCAGGCCCACCCTGCCATCAAAGCAGCAACATATACTGTACTGGAATGCCCGGGAACTGCCAGATCACTTGTATCAGAGGGGTCACAAGGATGGAAGGAGAGCCTAGCCAAGCCAGACTGGACCAGCAAGCTGTTTCCTTACCTTTGGGGGCACCACACAGGGCAGGAATCCTCCATATCCCAGGGAAGAGAGGGGGAGAAAGCCAGGCCAGACTCCTCCTAATTACTCTCTAAACCCAGCACACAGTACCAGTGGCTCAAATTCTCCTACTGTGGGATAACAACTTTCTCTTGCTGTTAGCGAATGTAGTTAGTCCTGCACTTCTGGAGGAACCAGTCTGTGGTGAGGGTTCCAGATTCAGACCCTCCTGAAGATGAATGAGAAGGGAATATTATATTTGTACATAATAGAACTTGCTTTTATCTTTTTACATTCTTAAAAAAACAAAAACTAAAACTACCTGCAAAACAAACTGCATTAAAAGAACATTATTTAGGCTGCAAAGTCAAACACACTCAAAAGTAGAGATGGTTGAAAAATTTTCAATGGATAGTTTTCCCTCAGAAAATATAGTTTCATTAAAATTGAAATCGTGTGCAGCAATGTATTGAGTTTGACAAATTTTTCTCTGGAAAAATGTTTAAAAAAAAATAATTTCAACTTTCTCATTTCATTTTGATGTAAAAGAGGCTCATTTTGATAAGGTAGAAATATTTCATTTTGGCCTTAACATTTTTGAGCCATTTTGTTTCATTTTTATATTCTCTTAATGTTATTTTAATAAAGTATTATATCTCTTGATAGTTGAAATATTTTATATTATAATGTTCTATAATGTCAAAATATTTCATTTTGATAATGTCAGAAGTAAAACAGGTAAATGTTTCCTAATTAAAATTTTTCAGAATTTCCATTCTGTGGGAGATTTCAAATTTGAACTAAAACAAACTTTCAATATATCAGAATTTCCCACCAACTCTACTGAAAAATTAGGAGATGTCATTGTGACGGGTTGGATCACAGAAAACCCCTTGGGAACTGCCAACTGATGTGCCGAGACTACCTCTGAGCCTGTTTTCCGTGGCAGCTTGAGACTTCAGTGCCCTGCCTGGTTTGAGCCAGACACGCTAGCCCATTACAAATCCAGACCCAGGTCTGAACCAAGTCCCCCCAATAGCTGCAGGCTTAACTGAAAACAGCTTAAGAAGTGTTCCTGTCTCCAACACTCAGATGCCCAACTCCCAATGGGGTCCAAACCCCAAATAAATCCGTTTCCCCCTGTATAAAGCTTATACAGGGTAAACTCAAATTGTTCGCCCTCTATAACACTGATAGAGAGAGATGCACAGTTGTTTGCCCCCTCCCCCCAGATACTCTGGGTTATTTAATAAGTAAAAATGATTTTATTAAATACAAAAAGTAGGATTTAAGTGGTTCCAAGTAATAACAGACAGAACAAAGTGAATTACCAAGCAAAATAAAATAAAACATGCAAGTCTAAACCTAATACAGTAAGAAAGTGATTACAGATGAAATCTCACACTCAGAGATGTTCCAGTAAGTTTCTTTTACAGACTAGCCTCCTTCTAGTCTGGGTCCAGAAATCACTCACACCCCTATGGTTACTGTCCTTTGTTCCAGTTTCTTTCAGGTATCCTTTTGGGGTGGAGAGGCTATCTCTTGAGCCAGCTGAAGACAAAATGGAGAGGTCTCCCAGGGGCTTAGACTTTCTCTTGTGGGTGTACACCCCCTCCTCTCTCCTATCCAGAATTTAGCTCTGGAGTTTTGGAGTCACATGGGCTTAGAGTGACCAGACAGCAAATGTGAAAAATCGGGACGGGGGTGGGGGGTAATAGGGGTCTATTTAAGAAAAAGAACCAAAAATCGGGACTGTCCCTATAAAATTGGGACATCTGGTCACCCTACATGGGCTAGTCACATGTCCATGCATGACTGAGCTCCTTACAAGCCAGGCCACATTCCTGGGACAGCTCAGATGTGGACTGTCGTCTCCAAGTTAATCGTTGGCTTAAGTGTTTCTTGATTGGGCACTTACTGAGAATAGTCTTTTCTCAGGAAGCTGCCCAACTGCTTTACTGAGGCTACTTAAAATTAAACAAGTACATAGCCAATATTCATAACTTTGAATACAAAAATGATACATGCATACAAATAGGATGAATATATTTAGTAGATCATAACCTTTACAGAGATATGTTACATGGAATATGTAGCATAAAACATATTCCAGTTATGTCATATATTCATTCATAAGCATATTCCCATAATGCTTTATGGGGTGCAACGTCACAGTCATATTTATGGTTGCCCAGGCAATGTTATTTTTGCCCCATTTTACATATGCATTATGCAATAGCCTTTAATTACACAATCATATACTATTTTTCCCCACAGGGCCCCTGTCTCATTCAGTGCACAGGATGGATGCACAAGGCACAATTAAGGTTGCATGGGCAACTGTCAATAGCATTTTCTAATTTTCAAGTGCTTGACATTGTGATCTAGATAACTTTATTTTAATGTACATTCTGTGTATGTAATTATTATTATAAGTCAGCCAGAGTACAATGAGAGAGTTGCACAGGTGACCATTATTAGCTTAAAGCATCAAATTGCCAAATTAAGGAGAAAGGAGTAAAAGCAAGTGAAAGAAGCCAGGTAAAAAATGGATCAGGGTTTTACAGCCTAGACATCACAGTCAAAGATATATTTTTGTGAGACTAGAGAGAACTATACTTTGCGTCTAACCATTTGTTTTGGTCTCAGGACCAAGCACAGCTAAAAACGACATGTGAATCTCATTATTTGCTTGTAAGGAGCTTGGCTTGTGTCCTGATTTATTTTGTTTAAGTATTGGTTGGTTGGAGGTGGGAGGATTCTACTGACAAGTAAAAGATATGCCTCTGATTTTCACCTGAGCCCTTTCCCCTTGTTCAGTCCCTCACCAGGATGTCTACTTAATGTTAGTAGAGAATAGATCACAGCTACTCAACTGACCAAAAATAATTTCTGATTTACTGAAGCAGGATCAAGGCCCCTTTTACTTGTAACTTGATATATAGCTTGGCTATTTGACCATTAAAAAGTATAATCACTTTCCCAAAGTACATCTTACTGGCTTTGTTCTGTTTGCCATATAGGCTACTTTCATTACAGAAAAGAGAGAAAGTGAAAACAGATATTTCATTGAAAAACAGTCACTAGAAACAGACTCTATGTGTGTGTGTGTGTGTGTGTGTGTGTGTGTGTGTGTGTGTGTGTGTGTGTGTGTGTGTGTGTGTGTGTGTGTGTTGTTACTACCACCACAACTAACTAA